TATCAAAGTAAGAAATTATAGCTTCAAATTTTTTTTAATACTATAAAAATATTATAAGAATTTTTAAATTTTATTTAAAAGTTTTGAGGAATTTTTAGAATAATTTCTAAGACTTTGGTAAAAATGAGTTTTATTACTTTAGAAGCCATTATGAAGAAATGGAGTAAGATTTGAAGGCCACATTGAATTCATAGGCTAATTGGATGTTTTTAAATACCATGGTGAAGTCAAAAATATAAAATTATTGGTTTTACTAGTAGAAAGTAGGAAGACCATCAACTAGTATAGTCCTTGTAAGAAGGGAGGTGCACAAGTTCCATATGGTTTGTAGCACTTTGAAGATAGTTAGGAAGATAAGACTTAGGCCTCGTGGCCTCTCTTGGCAACCCATATACACTACTTGTGAGCCTTAGTGAGGCTAGAACTCCTAATCTCTTAAGCAAGTTATCCTTGAAATAAAAATTATTTACTTATTATTTTTCAAACCTTCATAACTTACTCATAGTAAGTCAGATTTACATGTTTCTTATACCATTGGAAAGAAATATATATATATATATATATATATATATATATATATATATATATATATATATATATATATATTTATAAAAATATATTTTTATTTTTATTTTTTATTTTTTATTGGATAAAAACTTAGTGAATAGATTATGATTAGTTTTGTAGTGTACAATTGTTTGATTGCACTTATTCTACTTGTTTTGTGTTTTGCTTCTTTTGCTCTTGTTCTAATTCTTGCTACTTTCACTTCACACCACCCATTACAAGCAACTCTTAATTGATGCCATCTTGTAATTCAATTAAAGAGTGAATTTTACACTCACAATCCTTTACTTATAGAAGAAGTTTATATTTATTGTAATTAAACTTCATCTATAATCATCTTCATCTATCTTTGCTTCATCCGATTAAATCTTAGATCCCTATTAATTTAGTTGCCACTTAAAACCTTAGCCACCATAATAATAACTTACCTTCACTCTTTTACTACCCTTTGATTATTAGCAACTTGCTTAAGATAATAGTATCTTATTCTTACTTTAACAAGAAAGCATCTTTAAATTTAATCCTCTATTATTTATTTCTTATAAAAATCTCTACAAATATAAATTTTGTTTAAATGGTTTTAAATATGTTAATTTTTTATTAATTTTTTATTAATATAATATATTTATAAATATTAAAAATATATATATTTTAATGATATATTATACTTAATAATATCTAAATATATAATTTATTTTTCTATCGTAGATAAAAAGATTACAATCCATGAATCCATAGTTGTTACCTTTAAACTTATCTTTTAATTTCTTCATCTTAAAATAATTTCTATTAATATAATATTTTATTTAATAATTAGATAATTTTTAATATTAAAATATTTATTTAAAATAAATTAATATGAAATAAAATTAAATTATTAATTTGAGACTTTTTATATTATGCTTGATGCTTTTGTGGCTTTGTTTTAACATTACATAATAAAAATTTAGGTTTTAATATAGATAGTTTCTAAAGATATAATCAAACTATCATCAAAATCTATAAATTTATTATTAATTACATTATTACATCTGAAATAATTATCTTATTTATAATAAAAACTTGGCTTTTAAAGACCTTTATAATATTTATTTATAGAATCATTTGTTTACATTCTTTTATTGTGGATGTAAAAATATTATATTGTATAAAAAATATATTATAGATACTCTTATTTTTAAAGAAATTATAAATTTTTATCTTAATTTTTTGGTTCTTAGTATGAAAAAAAATGTGTACAAAGTTGCTATTATTGAAGATAAAAAGTAGTTATTCCAAAATCTAATTATGTTTTATACTTTTTTTAGAAATATATCTTTTAGTAGAAAATCCTTGAAATTATCAATAAAATCTCAAAGACTTAATGTTACTAATTAAAATAAATAAATAAATAAAAATCTTATATTCTAATGGTAAAATTTGTATTTATAAAATATTGGTGGTTCTTATATATTTTCTTTCATTTAAGACATGTTCTATAAATATAATTACTACGATTCAATAATATATTAGATTAAATATATTTTAAATTAATTATTATTTAATTACCTTAATATAATTAAATTACCATATAAAAATTATTATTATTATTTTAATATTCTTAACAAGGATTTTAATATAGCCATAAATTTTAGAGAGATTATATAGAATAGAAAGGAAAAGAAGAAAAAAAGAAAAAGCCTTCTAAATCATCTTTATTATTCATAATGACTTTAAAATACATTTAATGGTATTTTTTATTCAAATATTTATTTTTAATAAAATATATATAACTAATTATTAACATGTTTAATAAGATTTTAAATGTCCAATGAAATAAGCATACTTAGATATCATTATAATAAAGTAAAAATATACCAAAAGTTTTAAATTTTATTTTTTTTGAATTACAAAACATTCATGTGCATGAGTTTTTTTGATAATAAATATTCATTTTTAAAAATTAAATAAAACTAATTCTATAATATATATTTCTAAATATATCCAAAATTTTGAACTTTAAAACCAGAAAATAAGTATGTGAAATTATTTTAATAAAGTAAATGTTTAGATAAATATTAATATTTTTTTTAAATATCTTTAAATTTAAGTTTGTGTAAATCTTAAATTTATTAAGACAATATTATAAAAAACTCACATAGATAACACAAGAAAGTACATACAAAAATATCAAATTTTAACAAAAGCTGTATTTGCAATAAACACTAAAAAATCTTAAATTTAACTATTTCTAAATACAAGAAAAAACTTTTAAACCTCATAATTTAACTATTATCAATTATATGCAACTATATCTTAATGCATGTTTTTAAATTATAATACACTTTATAAATATTTATAAAAATTATTATTTACTCATTTCAAACTTCTTTATATTACTACAATTTTTTGTGTGTGTGTATATATATATATATATATATATATATATATATACATTTTATTTTTTATGTTTATTCATTAATATCTTTTTAATTGAATCTTTCCATTTTATCATTATTCTCACCTACAAAAGCCTCCATGTATATATATATATATATATATATATAAACTAAAGAAGCTTAGTAATAAGACAAAGACATAAAGAAGTCTTCTCATTGGCCAAAATCAAAAAAATTGTTTAGTAACAAAAAACCCTACATAACATCCAAAAAGACCTCCAATTTACTATTTGTACAAGATATTATTTTACATCTTTTTCATGCACCATTCATCGTTACCTTCTGGTTAGTCATCTTAGAAAGCCCCGCAAGCATGTGCACTTCGATCGCGGTGTCGCCCTAGTTACGAACCTGTGCAGCTGCCGCACCTGGACATCTTTCCGGGGTTCCTGCACACAACGCAAGTAGGAGAAAAAACAAAAACAAAAAGGCAGGAAATGAATTCAGAAACTTTTCCTTCGAAGAGCTCCTTGCATACTCAAAATCCTCAAAGACGTTCACAAAACCGTTTCAGTAATAAATATATATACATATATATATATATATATATATATACATACCATGATTTTCGCCAACCGCTTTCTGCAAAGCTTTGATCTGAGTTTACCCGACAGACAGCCTGAGAACCTATCATTGCACTGCCACAAGCTCCCATGGAGATATTATGGGCACCAGATGGCCATTCATGACGCCTGTAGGCACCACACCAAGGCAGAACGACTTTTATCGTGTCAGTTGAAGAAGATTTTTCTCCGACGGAATGCGAATCATCCTGAAAATTGCCGGTAGCAATGGGATCTGGAGCAGTTGGCAAGTGATCTGAGACACCATCAAGACACAAGAGTCCCCGAAGTATGTTTCCACCTGTTGCCGTAAACCAGACCCAACTGAAAATTTTATGCCTTCAAATATGCACCCTAAAACCTGAAGCCAAAGATCTGAACCATATATTTTATGTCCTTCACACTACACCCTACAATTATAATCCTATGGTTTTTACCTTGGTGTGGTAGTTATGTGTTTGTATGTTATATTCTTTAATCTAAATCATAAATCATATTTTCTCAAATTCTATATCTTTACCTTAAATCATAGATTTTGATTCCTAAATCTTGAAATGAATACACGTCACATCAGCATCTAATATATTGAGGTGTGTGCCTCATTGGGTTTTAATGTTAGGTGCACCAAATCAAATATCAGTGTGAGTTAGAATGCTACTTAGGTTTGAATGTCGAACAGAATGTGCTACGTTTGTTGTTAATGCATATATCTATTTATTTGCAAATTTATTCTAAATTGTTAAAAAAAATTGTTGTATAAGTCGAGTGACTCAATAAGTGAGAAAAGTAGAGAAAGATTCAAAATCTAAGTTTGATACCAAGGGCCATATCCCATGGGTTTCATCCATATTGTATGTAGTCCATTTTCCGAGAGACAGATGGCATTTTTTTTTATTCCAGTATTATTGTTGTAATAAAATTAAATAAAATAAAGTAAAAATTGGTACAACAATCAATTTCCACCTTCTTGATAACTATTTAGAACCCATCACTTTAACATAATACTCTCAAAGCAAAAAACTCAAATGGTAATATATACTTGGTTTACCACATACATTACAGAGGCTTGCAAAGCTCATTGAAGAAGGGCCCAAGGCTTCCACTTTTGCAGGCTTCGGTGGATCTATTCACGTTCGCAAAAGAACAGGTATATTTATTCGCTTTACCACCCATTGCATAATTCAATTTCTGCTCAGAGTATGTCTGAAGCTTCTCCCCGAAACAAGCCAGACATACAGAACTGAACATTGGCCGTTGCTATGAAGTTTGCCGTGTGAGTACAGATTTGTTGTGATATCACACACAGTTGTTGCAATCCTCTTGGATATATTGAACCATAAGAGAAGAGTTTTGATTGCGCCTGGCACACGCTCCAGAAAGGGCATGAGCACAATCCACGACTCATACCAACTATCAGAGTAAGATTTCAATATGAATGTCAAAAAGCTCGTCGTTGATGGATCAAAATATTGCAACACCACATGCGTTGGCCATCTCAAAGGTGCAGCCAATGTCACTTTGGAACTTTCCCGAAAACGCTGAATACGATTGGGAGAAAAACCTATCCCTAAATAATACTGCATATAACTTGGTTCGTGTGATGGTGGGGATCAGTGTAGAGCAGATGGATAATCTGAGCTCACTCATTTCACTGGATGACGCGGTTAGAGGGGTTAATAAGATGTTGACATGAAGCAACTCCCAAAGTTAGCATTCACTACGATGCTAACAAAGTTCTGCATATGAATCCAGCGGTAGATTACATATACACAGAGCTTTACATGAAAGTATTTCGAGCATACTTGTTGATAATTTATTGCTGCGTCAAATTAGTTCCGATACCACTTGGAGAAAGCAGATGGCTGATGCAAGTCAAGATGTTGGGGAATCAGACTGGCGACAATTCAGAACAATGTGGGGACCTCAACATTGGTCAGCTCATAGTAAATCGACCTCTTTGTTGTGGATCCAACTGAATGTCCTCCTCGGTGGAATCTCGCTTCTAGCTCGATTGAGAGATCGTTCCGCAAGCCTGTGGATGCGAGCTGGCAGCCTACACAAGAAATCTTGCGCTTTCTGAGCATCACTTGACAGTCCTGTCAAGGTACCCAAATTCCAGTAGGAAATTAAATGATCTATGATCCTGGCGTAGTCCACCGATGTGTACACTCCACATCGCTGGGCAACTGCTGCATAGTCATCGAAGAGGCTGTCGTTCTCTCCATCGTGCATGAGATGCGCAGGCATGGTGATCTTCTTCTTCATCATCTCCAGGAACGGTAACATTGCACCGTTTGGATCCAGTTCAAACAGCTTGCCAACAATGCGGCTGTATGCGATCTCGTGCCTCTTCTCATCCGAGGCAATGATGCCACAGATTGTGGCCAGTTTGTGCTCGTCAAACAATTTGGCATGTCGAGCTGTGTTTCCGTGAGATATGAACGTTGCACGTTCTTGGAATGATGTGTAGATGAATCCATTGTAAAGAATCAGATCAATGTGAGGCTCCTGGAAATTAACAACAAAGGACCATCGTCAAATACACGATTGGTAATCTGCTTAGCACGGATAGAGGGAAGCAGAACTCTCTGTCCTTTCAATTCTATCAAGGAGTTGGTGATAGACATACCATGCCTGCTCCGATCAAGTACTGGATTGTTCGTTCTACCATTCGCATGTCCACTCTTCCGGAAAGGTGGAGATGCCGATTTAACAAATCTCCATGGCGATTCTCCTCTGCTGTCCATGCTCGAATCCACACCCCCCATGGCGTTGGGCTGCACCCAGTCTTATCCCTTACGCCTTCGAAAGTGTTTAACATCGTCTGGTACGTGGGAAGAGCTTCTTCAGTAACCATGTCACCGACCAAGCACACCAAGTAATCATCTGGGAGCTCTTTGGCACGAGACCGCAGCTCCAGAATTTCCTCGAAGAAACTATCCGATGAAGAGTCGGGGAGAAAATCCTGAGGTTGCCATGACTTCAACATGGGTTTCAACATGGGGAGAAGGTTCTCTTGAGCCCAATTGTTTAGAGAAGCTATGACCTCCAGTTTCTCCACCGGGATGTGCTCCGGCTGTCGATTCCAGTGTTGATACGGTGACGTTGCCTCACGGAGGGGATCGCAAATTCCAGTACTCGGATGCCTCTCCCTGCCGCCAGAAACTATACTGGGTCAAAATGGCACATTAAATTCTGCAATGGAGGATCATTCTGCGAGACGAAGAATGTGATCATCTGTTAAGGGAGGCAGTGGTCACCTGGGCGGGGAGGTGGTCATTTCGACCTGGAGCGGCTTCCATCTCTTCTCGCTTGAGACAAAGTTTAGTGACTTCTTGCCCTCTTCAAACCTCCGACTTACACAGAAGGATGGTGTTGGTGCTGTAGCAACTCGCAATTGGGGCAGCCCCATGGCTTCTCAAGGCAAGTCTAGGCAAGCGTCGAAAGTGTCACCAGAGCGGGTAAAAGTGAACAAATAAAAAACGATGAGACTCGAGACAGACCTATCTTGTACCGCCAGTTAGAAGCACAATTAAGAACAGGACTGGATTGCCACCAGGTTCCAAAGCAATTTCTCTCCTAGCCGCGTAGACGTTAAGGCCGCTTATCTCTCATAGATGTAGATGCAATGCGACGCATGTCGATAATTTATCTCAGTACAAGCTTTGCATGTGATCCAAAACACGTTTGAATCAACATTACGTCTGTCAAAACCTTAAACGTGATTCAAAGTGGATACTACATGCGATTTACGACCTTTGAACGAGATTTGAAACAGCTTTCAATAACATGTGTTCCAACAATGCTCATAGTATTTCGACCAGTGATATTATTCCCAACTAAAGGGTGCTACAATCTACTCTATGGCACTCTTGTCCACCATTCGATGCTCCTAACCTTAGCCAGCTTCCATTTGGTGACTCCAGCCAAATGCTCAATGTCGAGGCGTAATCTCTGCGAACACTCTCCCTTAAATCCATTGCTTCTCAGAATCATCTAGCTGAAACCATCACTGTTACCCACAGCTAATTGCCAAAGGAAACCACTTCCACGCTTCTCTGACTCCTTCACAAAATGCAATACAGAGACTACATCCTCCCCTTACCAACCCCGATCATTGTAACGAAATCCAACCCTCCCAAAACAAAACCGCATTCTACGTCGCCCCGACCACGCATCGACTTACATCAATCACCAGACCTCATGACACAACTACCTGAATCCAGGGCCAAATTATAGAGCATGAACGCTGGTGGAGCTAGTCCAGTGCGACCAGGAGAAGCAGGACACTAAACGTCGAATCACGGGACTGAACAAGTACAACCATGATGAAACCCACAGCAATATATTACCAAGAGCTCTAGAACATCAACTCCATCGCAAAGAAACCACCCTAAAGTCGACGCGACGAGACAAGACGCCCGATCAGCGAGGCGATCCGTGGTTGCTACAGAGCATGCGTAGCGATGAGCTTCGATGCAAAACTTTGGGTCCAGTCCAGTGCAAGTGAAGCAGTGGCCGCAGAGGCGCGGGATGTAAAACCTGAATCCGGCGAGTCGGAAGGACAAAGCTCCGCTACCTCGCTCGCTCGCGGTCGCCGTCGTCACTGAGCCTGTGAGTCCAGCTTCGTCTCGACGGCGGCGAAGATGCCCGCGACGACGAGCGTGGCGGATGCGAATCCTCACAACCAGGCCCGCCACACGCGCCAGAGCTGGACCGGGGACTTCGCCATAGCTAATTTCTGACCCATCAATACGCTAATGTGAGTATGAAAATGACGAAGTTTTCTAATAATAAAGTGATGCGATAATGAGACTTTCATCTTTTGTACATAAGCATTTTATGAATGTATGTTCAGAGGTCCATTCAATATTGAATCTCGGTACCACAGTTGTGGATCCCGCTTCAGCTGCTTTTACACTTGCATCGATTCGAACTTTTTAGAGATGCGAAGCTTCACAATCTGGCCCGCCAAACTTTTGCATCAGTTTTAGAACTAAAAATCTTAGATATTTTATGACTAAGCGTTCATCCATTTTTTTGTTGTTCTATTTGTATTCTTGTAAAATGTTGTGGAATATGTTATAAATATCTCGGCGAACAAATCAAATGTTTTCTACAATATCCAAGATCCATCTTTGGTTTTTAATAGTTTATGGTGAGTTAAATGGTATGAATTGTATTATCATGGTGGTCCTTTTTATATATATATATACATATATATATATATATATATATATATATTCTAATAGAAGATAAATTTGACTTTTGGATTTTATTTTGTTTAGCATCTTAGTCTTTTAGCTTCATACTACATCATTGTGATAATTAAAAATTGTTGAAGATTTTTTAAGTGTCATAACAAAGCGAAATTTTATTTGTTAGCATCCTTTGTTCTAATCTTTAGAAGAAAAATATTGATTATTATAAATTTTATTTCTTAGAGAGTTAGAGAACCAATTAGCTATAGTGGCACTCAAATACTATCAAGATTGATTCTAACCACCTATGCATGAGACTATTTAGGTTGACATAAAGTTTTATTATTTTTTGTAGTCTTCAATTCTCTTTCTCTATTCCATTGTTGTACCCCTCTTCTAGCTCTAGCCAAGGCTTCTTTGGCCTCTACTCCTATAAGTCCAAAGTTTTGTTCTTAACCAAAAGATGTTGTGCATAGCGAGCATACAAAATATTTGTTTAAATTAGATAATTTTGTATATAATAATGAAAAACCTATTCATAAAAATATCTACTAATCAAGTAAAAAATTATTAAGAGTATTTTATTAAGAATATTTTCTTTTTTCATAAATAATGATCAAGAAATTGAACCATATTTGTAAGTGTGAGTCACTTAATTGACCCACTTAAGTCTTTAGTACAAATAATATACTCATTGTACTTAAAATCATAGATTTTGTGAGTTAGTGTAGTAATTTTGAGATAAATAGAAAATGAAAAATAAAATAGAATGTTAGTTGCAAGAATGGATCTCTTGTAGTATTATCCTTGAGAAAGGATTTTAAATTACATACCTTCTCTCTAATTTAGCTGATAGAAATTTATGAGGTTTTTTATAATAGATTTTGTCATTAAAAGATCACTTGGTCTAAGAGCTAAATATAAATCGGATCCAGTCAATTATAAAAGAATTTAAAAAAAAAACCAAAAAAAAAAAAAAAAAAAAAAGGTAAGTAAAAGGTAGGAGAGAGTAGAGAGAGAAAAGTAAAATTAGAAGAAGATAGAGAAGAAAAGAAAAAATCAGAAAATATAGGAGAAGGAAAAAACGAAAAAAGATGAAAAAGAAAGAGAAGAAGAGAAAGAAAGTAAGACAAAAGAAAAGAAAAAAGAGGCTGCTTCTGAATGGTGGCAACCTCCTTGTCGATAGGGTCCGGCCGCCGGATCCCACACTCTCCTGTTTCTTCACGTCTTCATGAATTGGAGGCACTCCAAAAAGAAATTCCGTTCTTTCATGTGATATAGGTACTGCAGTGCAATATTTTTCCCTCTCCTTTTTTGTTTTGTGCTCGGTTGGAGTGCTGCAATGCTGCACAGCTTTGCCCTGTTGTTTTTCTTGTTTTTTTCCTCCGGTTTGACTCTTGTCTGTGTTTTATTGACAACTTGGCATGCCCAAGCGGAGCAGCGGAAGCTGTTCTGTGCTTCCGTTACAACGGCATGGCGGCTGAAGGTGCATTGCGGAGCTCATTGATGCAGCCACAGTGGTTGACTTTTGTATTATTTTTATTTTTTTTTATTTTAGTGGACTGGGTTGATATCGGTTTTATTCTAGCCGTTGAAGATCAACGGGGAACGAGCTGTCGAAGGTTGGCATTATGTGCGATTTGACAACTCTGCGTTAGGTAGAGTCTATGGTTGTTGAAATTGACAGGTGCATGCTGCGGCTGCAGCAAGGCCTTGCGGATTGTAGTGACAATGTGCCGATCTGGTCGAGGAGTTGGGGTGGCTCAAGTCATGGTGGCTTTTTATTTCATTTTAGTTCCGTATTGTGTGGCAAGAGAATTGTTGCGCTCCCTCTTGTTGTTATTGGTAGCATTATGGCACCGCGAAACAATATTGAAATTCAATTGTTCCTTGATGCTACAAGTTTAGTTTAGCGGCAATAGGAATGGCGATCTTATTCTAGATTCAACGACGTTGGCATACAAGGCAACAACGGAGTTATGCGGTAAGCTTCAATGGCCCTGGACTTTGTTCAGACTGGTCTATTGCAGTTGCCAACAATGCAGGGATTGCAGTCTGCACAAAACGGTGGCATGGTGGTATTGGTTACTACTATATCGGAGGTTTAGTGATGAGTGTTGCTGGTTTGGACAAATGCAGTGTCAATAGCGCTTAGTTAAAGAGGAACTTAAACATCTGCCTAGGTTGAGTTAAGAAATGATTGGATTGTGATTTTTTATGTAGAGGTTGTTTTATTGGATTCCCCTTCGTTCTACTTTTTTCTTTTTGATTATTCCACCTTTTGTTTTTGTAGCCTGGTAGTGATGGATTGTTGTTGGATATTCAAGGCCCAGGCTATTAGAAATCAAAATAAAATTCACCTCCTTGCTGTGAGTCCCACAAATTGATCAAAATTGGTGGATTAATTAAAAATATAGTTTTAAGTCATTTAATTACACAAATGTTAAGATTAGAGAGTCTTTTTGATTTTTCAAGTATTTATTATAATTTAGAAGTATTTACAAATTGCAAACATCTTATTAGAAAGAAAGTTATAAAAATGGAGTCTTAGTAAGTCTTAGTGGCAATTATCTTAGTTAGTTTAGTATTTTTTTTTATTGTTAAGTATTAAGAGTTAATTATTGAGACCAATGTCTTTATTGGCTTCCTATCTACATGTATTACTATATCACATGAAAGAATATAGGATTTTATAAAATCCTATCAATGATTAGTTAGTAGTTGGAAGAAGCATGAAAAAATACTTCATATCTTTTTAATTAATTATATAGATAATAGGATTTTTAGTAGATTAAAATTCATTTTATCACTATAAAAAATCACCAAGATAGAAAAACAAAGCTTTATATTGATAATAATATTATAGAAATATTATAGGATTTATTTAGAATTTATTTAGATTTTTTTATAAATTTTTAGAGAAAATTTCAAGACCTTGGTAAAATTGAGTTTTACCACCTTGAGAGCTATTATGAAGAAATGAAATAAGATTTGAAGACTATATAAGGTTTCTAGGTTAATTGGGTATTTTTGAACACCATGGTGTAGTCAAAAATACAAAAAATGTAGCTTTACTAATAGAAAATAGAAGGACTAGAAGTTAGTATAGTCCTTGAAGGAAGAAAGGTGCACAATTCCCATGTTGGTTGTAGCACCTTGGATATAGGTAGGAAGATAAGACTAAGGCCTCAAGGCCTCTCTAGACAACCAATATATACTACTTGTGAGCCTTGGTGATGCTCAAATTTTTTATTTCTTAAGCAAGTTACCCTTGAGATAAAAATTATTCACTTAATTTTTTTAATATTTACATTCTTTCTTTAATCTATCATAATTTACTTATAGTAACTTAAAATTATACGATTTTTATGTCATTGGAAAGATAAAAAAATTATCTATCTAAAAATATAATTTGTATTTTTTACTTTTATTTTTATCCAATGAACAGATTGTGACTTAACTTTTGGTATTGTAATTACTTGATTTAATTTCTTTCACTTGTATTGTGGTTGTTCCTCTTAGTTTTTGCCAATTGCTTACATCACTTCACACCACCAATTACAAGCAACTCTTAATTGATGCCATCTTATAGTTGGGATTGAGGAGTGAAATTTACACTCATGTAAATGGTGCATTTGCCAAGAGATGGTACTTCTAATGGTGTGTAAAAATGTCAAGTTAGCTTTTGGTGAATAATCTTGCTTGGACTTATTATGTGAGAATTGCAACTTAGTCTTCATTATTTGTAAGTTTTCTACCTCTCTCCTTGTTAGTATAAACAAGGCCTTCAAATTTTTAAAAATCAAAAGATAGTTAAAAGTTTTGTTGTTGAGTAGAATGTTGATTTGCTCTCGGATTTTTGTCAATCAGTTTTTGTCAATAAATGAATTTTAATTAAATAAGAATTAAATTAAAATAATAAATAAAATAAATAAATAATAAATAGAAATCATATTAAAAAGGGTTTTTTTTATTTCATGTAGTTTGTCAAGTGACTTACTAAGTATAAGTGTGAATTGTTAATTGAGCCTTGGCTTTATTACTTGGATTAATCAAAAGGAATAAGAATGATTTGATTTGAATTTAATTTATAAGTATAATTTTTTTAATTTACACGATTAATTTAGTTGTTACGAATTGAAATAAACTTCTAAATAGTAGAGGTTTATTTTAGCTCACAATAAGGCTACCAATGAATAGGTTTATTAAAATAAATAAATATATATATATATATATATATATATATATATTGAAATTTTGAAACATGTTTTTTATTTTAACAATAAGAATTTAATAAGTCTAAAAGTTTAAAAGCAAAGTAAATTTATAAATTTTATAATTTATAGTTATTGGAATGGTTGCGATTATTTTTAAAACTTGTTAAAAAATGCATATTATAATTTTTTTGCATAAATTTCTTGACAAATTTTCCATCGTAGAATTAAAAATTTATAGTCTACAACTACAATTTAGTATAATATTCTTGTTCTTTTGTACTTCTAAAGTAGCTAAGTCTTAAATTTGAATATTTATACTAATTATCTAAAT